AAAGACACTTTATACTCATTGAAACTGGAACATATTGTTTCGTGGTCATGTAGACGAGTTTCGTTATTGAAATAATTCAAACACCTATCGCAAATGTATTTCTTGTGATTATATTTACTGAGCTGTGAGGAAACTAATCGAGACAAATTTTTAATGTAACAATAGTGATATTTTATTTCTTCATAATCATTATCTTGCGGATCAGGATCAAAATCATTAACTTTTGGATAATATTTATTTTGTATTAACAACAAATTTGAATGTTTTTCGCGTTTTTCTTTTGTTAATCGTGCAGGTAACACGGAATAAAAACTAGTTTTTTCATTTTTATTAAGCTCTAAGATATAAACATTGATGGAAATATCATTGTCTTTTTCAAATTTGCTTATTTTATTCATTTCCATAGGTGTTTGTAAATTTTCAGTTTTCAAAACACTTTTGTAGTATGGATATGAAGAGGGTAAATACTGACGAAAACGTGCTGGAAAGAGTCCGCATACAACTGACCAATAAAAACACGCTTGATCGTCATTTCTAATGTTAATACAAGCCCTTTTATTCGCAATTTCTTTAGGCAACTCAACGAAGGATGACCCGTTACCCATTTCAAATTTATTAATGTTAATCTCTAAATAAATAATATTATTTAAAGCCCACCCGGAATCACGTTCCTGAAACTCTGACATTTGATTTAAAATTTTATCTTGCACATTTTCAACAAACCAATCATTCAATTCTGTTCCTAAATCAACTACAGCATTTCCGGTACTCAGATATTTAACATCAACTTCGCCTTGGACATCATTTTTTGCCTTAATAAATTCACCGCAAAATGTGGTATTTACTTTCAGCAATAAAAATTTCTTTAAAATTTGACTAATTTTTTGTTGAAATATTGGACGAGAATCGTTTAAAAATTGAATTAAATCTTTATGAAGTAAATTAATTATGACACCGGTCTGAACTCTTCCCTGGAAACACGACGCTACCGATTCCCATACAACCATTTCATTTGTGTTTGTCTCGCGGCTACTACTTTGTAATCCCAATCCAAAATGCTTATGTTGATAATTAAGAATAATTTTTCTAATAGCTTTCAGATGTTGAATTGTAGTTTGTAATTTTCTTTTTAACCCAATAGAGAAATCCTTTTCGTTAGAAACGATTTGGTTGCAAGATTCAATATTTTTATTTAGTCTCCTAAGCCACACATCACTATCTCTAAGAGTGAACTTGTCGGAAATATGCTTTTTTAATTTTTGTAAGGTTAAAATTAAGATTTGCGCTCTATGAATGATCTGCTTTACGCGCATCGTGGTTTATTAAATATATAACAGTAAATAAGACTTACCCTGTATAATATGTTGATTAATTTTGAATTATTTTGAATTTCTTTAAAGAGTTGGGCTTTCCAATATCTTTGGATCCCTCGTAGACCAGTTTGTACTGCCCCGACGCAAAGTGTTCTAGTCTCGGACGGAAAGCTTCTGTCACGCGAGTAGGAAGAAATACTACGGAATTTTCTAATTGCAGCAACACGGAATTGCCAAATTTTGTATTAACAATTTTGGCTCTAGTAATTTTAAACGGAACGCCTATCGGCAATTCATGCAGTTTGACAATCGGCTGCTCAAAATCACCTTCTGCAAGACAGGTTTGATTCAGTTGACTTAAGTCCATCTATAAATTATTATTAATTATTTTATCTCAAAATTAAAAAAATAAAAAAAACTTACGCTTAAGATTGCTGCTATTCTATTTGCGGTTACGGGTTGAGAGTACTAAGATGATCTTTAGGACCTTTATAAAATAATAACAAATGTTAAAGAATTAAAATAAGACAATAAAAAAGGTACTTACTGCTTTTTTGTACGAACACCAAACCACTAAGTTAGCTTCCACGTTGCACGAATAATACCAAAAACAACTACTGACAAAACAGAGAAAAATGAGATGTATTTATACGGTGCGAGAATACTTTCTAAAAGTTAACAAACGAAGACACCTCCACATGCGTTGCAACAAATTTTTCCCATTACGTTAATCCCACGGAGCAAATATAAAGGGGGCAATTAATTATTATTCTCAACAAGCAAAACAACTTGACATTTAGACTCGGCGCGTTTTGAAATTCCACATCCCATACGGAGATTGTAAAAAATGAAAGCAAGTTGGCCTTGATCTTTTGCGGCAACATACGTTCGTCCAACGTCCGAAACGGTTGCGTTCCCGTGTGAAAGCGTGTTGACCTTGAGACTCCTACCTGCACGGTTGTCTGGCGACAACATCGCGTCTATTCAAATCGGCGTTGGTGCTTGTGGGTAGAAGACCTTTCGACTTTTAATTCAACCATGGAAGGGAGTGCATGTGTATAAATACGTTGCATGTGTATTATAGACTATATTCAGTGCAATGAATACAGAAGTGCGATGTCCATTTCCCTACGACCCTACAACTGGTAAGTTTTATATTTTAATTACCTTTATACAGTGCGCGTCTTTTCTTGTGGGTTTCAGTTTGGGTTATCACTTTTTTGGTTAGTTTCTACCTGTTTTTAAAATATGATACTCATCTTTTTTACGTTGCATAATAACCGATTTAAATTGAGTGTTTTTAATAGCTTTTAAATGACAGTGAATGGAAAAGGGAATTTTGGCTTTTAAAAAATAAACAATTTTTAAATTTGTTTCAAAAATGTTTTATTTTTTGTACTAAAAAATTGCAGTTTGCCTTTTTGACAATAATAATCGAATTAAATTGAGCGTTTTTAATATCTTTTAAATGACAGTGAATAGGGAATTTTGGCTTTTAAAAAATAAACAATTTTTAAAATTACTGAAAGTTTTGTTTCAAAAATGTGCGTTTTATGGGGAAAACGCGAAATATATACATATTTTTGTTTATTTTTTGTACTAAAAAATTGCAGTTTGCCCTTTTGACAATAATACACTTACATTTAAATGACAGTGAATTGAAACGTGAATTTTAGTATGCGCGTATAACTTAAAAAACAATTTTTAAAATTATTTGATAACCCCCCTTTTTGGAAGTTTTGTTTAAAAAAAAAATGTGTGTTTTATAGGAAACGCTACATATCATACTTTGTTTTGTTCTAGAAAAAATCGCGGTTTGTCCGTATGACAAGTCGCATATTATGTTGGCGCATCGCTTAGGGCGTCACATATTCAAATCACACAAAGAGTACCGGGGGTTAGAATTCCCGGTACGACATGAAACGACAAGGGAACATCACCAGCAGCAGGAGCAACCCGGTGGATCAAAAGAAACAAAGGAGCAGCAGGAGTACCCGGGTGGGTGGTCGACGGAGTGGGACGGCGAGGAGTGCACTTCGTATTTAGATTTCCTCCGGGAACGGGAAGAAGAACAACGCAAGGAACAGGAACAATGGGATGGTCGACTGAATCGACATAAAAAGAAGAAGAAACTCCTCGCCAGACCAATTTTATAAATAAAATAAAATAAAATGTATTAAAATTCAAGTTTATTTAATTATCCTCCCGATCCACCGCGTCACCGCGCCGCACCGTCACCGCCCTCTACCGGGGGGGCCTACGACGGTCGGAGCGCGCGACATCTAGCAGCGACGGGCGGAACCGGGGCAAAACAGGACGCTACACAAGCTGGCGACATCTAGCAGCGACGGGCGGAACCGGGGCAAAACAGGACGCTACACAAGCTGGGTGGGGGGCGGAGCGCACTCTGGGAGACAGGGGGGACACTAGGACGCCACGCGCGGGGGGCCCCCGCTGCGGGGGGGTTAGGAAATTGAGGTTATGTACGGTTTCTGTTGCTTATATCGGCACTATACATCTACTTTTGGCACCAACTGAAATCTACCATTCGTCATAACAATGTTTTTCCCCGTGTTAACGGCAATGTCGTCGAACTTATAAAAACCGAAGTTTTTAACATCCCTCCGCAAAATTGGGCAAATTCTGTTAAACATATAGAAAAAGCGAAACAATCGTATAGCCACATTGCAAATAATATAGAACAAATAATAATTAGAACAGGCGATGATAGCGATAGTGATACTGATATATTATGTGAATAATTTTAAGTAATTTAGGTAGGTAATAAAAATAATTTGTAATTTTATTTTAGAATTGAACATAAATAAATAAATGTTGTTTAGTATCTTTCCTAACAAAACCCCAAATAATTAAATTTTAAGCAAAGTACGGACCTGTTCGGCCATATTTCATTCTTAGAGCTTGCCCGGGTCTTTCCTTAATTCGTATCAGTTAGTCACTTTATTATATCTATGAACAGACTTTATCTAGTCTATGAAAAACTGAGCACAGTGTATATATCGGTATATATATATACAAAAACACATTGTATTTCACTTTTTCTCGAAAATTTAAGATAAGAGGATTTGTGTTACACCCTACTTGAAAGGTTTTTTTAAGTATCTATAATTTCTAATCTATTAATAAACTTTTTAAAACTTTCCCATTAAAATGGAATTTTGAAGATCCGTCAACGGCTATGAGAAATACAATCATATTTGCTTTTGTCCATTTTCATATTAGAATAATTTGCATAAAAAAAGTTTCAAGATGAGTCTTAAGGCGAATCCTGCCGTCTATAATCTCTTAACAAAAATTGTATTGCATATATTATTTTTCCGACAACCGCCATAAAGATACAACAATAAGACAAGTATTTTATTTATAAAAGCGTCATTGTTGTTGCTGAGTTGCTATGGTAAAATTAGTATGGGTAATATAATTATCGTTCGCAACTGTGTATGTAAACAAAAACACGTGGGAACGTCAGTTTCGTTTGATCTACAAACATCAATTTTTGGGAAAACCCGGTGACTAGTAGACATAATCTTAATAATTTAAATAAAGCTAAAACTATATTTCAAACTGTGGTGATATTTGTGAATGTTAAAAAAATGGCCAAAATTAATCCGACTTCAAGTTCTGACCTGCAAACTGGCTTAGCGAGTTTTTTTTTTTAATTTTTAGGTGTTTCCTACCTTGAGTTCGGCGAGTTCGACTTGTACCTCAGCAGCACCATCTTTTCGATCACGCGCCTAAAAATTACCCACGGTTCGTATACTCGCAAAGTTCCAATCAAATGTGAACAAAATATTCTGATAATTTGTTTAAGAACGCTAATTAACTGTACCTTTAGTAGGTCACCTAACCTATCTTTCACCATAGCGATATTAGCAACAAATATATAATCGCGTTTCCTTTGACGCTGTTATCTTATCTAAATATAATCGCCTCCGCCCTTCAAACATTAGCTGTATTCGGTGTTATAATACTTCTCAATATCTTTTTACCTAAGCTTTACTCTTCTACTTGTTGCACATATACCTGCGGAGAATTTACTGCGCTCTTGTTGCTTGAATAAGGAATCTATAATTTATTGCTTTTTCCTTTGTGGAAAACCTACGTTTGATGGTGTAATGGTAATTCAAATATTCGTATAGGCGGAACTACATGTATAATGGGTTGCCTGGGGTACCGAGTTTCATCGTTTAACTGCTTGAAATAATTATGTGACAGAAATTATTCAATTTGTATTTTTTTTTGTAATAAATTTGTTTAAGCTTCCTGAATTTAGCAAAGGTGATAATGTCATGTAGGTAGATGGGGATACTGCATAAAATTAAAAACTTGACTGGCCAAAAGGTTTTTTTGTGCACTGCTGTGTTCATCACCACATTAGCAGTGCCAAGAAATTATTTCTCGCTGCGTAATATGGAAAACTTCAGCACTAATCATATTCTAAAGCAGCAAGTTTTCAGACCATTAATTCTTATTTTAATTGGAAAATTGCGAATTAGTTGGTATTCGTCGACGTCAAAGCTAATGATAAAAACCATTACATTCGCTTAAAAGAAGAAATGAAATCAAATAACTTTGTCACAACTCAGAAATGATTTTGGTTAGAATTTCATATTCAAAGCTTTTGGTTAAAAAGGTACGGCAAAACCTTGTTTCAATTTAGATAGATGCGTTGAGTATTTCTGCAAAGTTAAAAGTTATCTACCGGTCTGGGTGGTAAATCCCAATCCAAAGTTTTTTACTGCACGGACATGCATCCTTCGAGTGTCAATAAATCATTGAAGAGTGCGGAAGAGTGGAGCTTTTAGAAACTAATTTTGTATATCTACAGGGTAATAATTCACGAGCTATTCTATCGGGTGGCCTGTTTATTATGAGATGGCATCTTAGAACTTCAGAACCTATAAAAAATATCAAGAAAACAAAAGTTGTTTGGATTCGCTCATACTTTTAAATATACAGGATGCTGGTTCTTATTTTCTTTCTCGATCCGTTAGTCACAGATGTTTTGTGTGAAAATGTTGAGTCTTTCATTATGCCATTTTTTTTACCAGATTTTTCACATGTTTTGTTGAATCTTTGCATCTATAATTATTGTTAGCTTATACTTTTTATGTAAATTTTGTAAATAAAACCGGCATATTATCAGAAAAAAGTAGTAAATAACACGTTGTTTATTTTAATTGACATAAAAAAATTCTTAATAAATTTAAAATAAATGTTTCACTTGTCTCTCTTCTCAAAAAAAATTAATATGTAATGGTACCTAAAATTTTCACAGCCCGCGAAACTGTCCCAAAAAATCCATTCCCTAATTGCCTGTTATTTGTGTTCTATCGCATTGCTTTTTACACTGCCAATAAAACTTCTAAATCATCCTACATTTTAAAATGACTTACTTTTCCAAATTGGAATTAAAAGCGTATATCGACACCCAAATTTTAAAATGTAATGTAAAAATGTATCTAAATTCGTTTTTACTGTTACACAGTGCTTATGTCCAGTAATTAACTAACTAACCAACCACATTAATTTCAACCTTATTTTGGGATATCCCCGGGTTGGTTCCACATCGATCATTTCACGAAAGTATTTTGCTTTGGCGATATTTTAACGGCGAACAACGTCGTCTGTTGCCTAATATTTATAAAATGAATTAAATTATCAAACAAAACAATGAAGTCGGGATTAGCTACGTTTGCCACCTGTTGATTTCACGAGGCACGCTTAAACGAAATGAAAGTTTTTGTTTATTGGCTCGGACTTAGGAATAAAAGAGTTACCTAACCTTGACACTGACTCAAGGCACTTTCTCCTAATATGAAGCAATTTCGTCTGCTGGCGTTTGTTTAATTTAACCGCAATTTTGTTTTCCTTTTCTTTTTTTTTAATTTATTTCGTTGACGTTAAGAAGGAAAGTTACATTTATAGCTCATGTGGGAAACTAGGAGCCTCAGTGCGATTTACCACATTTAAAAAGGTCAAAAAATTAATTATATTTTAAATATCATATATATAATTAATTGTAAGTTTTGTGTGCTAACCAAAAATATTAACATAATGCCATACCCTGTACATGTCATTTAATATTTACTGAGACTATGTCTTGGAAACGTAATAACATTCAACAGCGTCCTTTATAATGTTCTCTACGTATGCGAAAAATTTTCATATGTGCTATCGCTTCCGTATAGTATCCGATAACCTGATAGCCAATTTCTGAACCGTAACAAATAAAAAAATATCCCATATTTAACGAACATTAGGGTATTGACAGTTTATAAAAGGTTTTGATTCATCAAACATAATATAAATTAATTTTTCTATTTTTGAAACCATTGCACAATTAAAATGAAAGTTATGTGATAATTCGAATCACTACATAGGATTGTGGTTTCACTATTTATTATGGATTTGATTTGCATCCCAAATCATTAGGAAACTTTGCATATAAGTCCTTTGCTTTGACGCATTCCAATATTTTTTCCAATGCTCCTTCCTAATATTAATTGACCTTGTGTCTGTTTTACATTTGTCGATGTTATGTTAATTAAATTAAATTAAACTTTCTTGTGCAACAAATCGCGAGATTTTTGGTTTTAACTTATTTAATTAAATCGTGGTCGAATTATATAACGTTTCTTGATATACCGATCTTGTAAAATTAAATTTATGCGAGAACCAGGCGAAAAAGTCAGTTTACCGAATTTTATGTGTTTCAGTAAATCAACATAACATATAGTCGAGTATAATCTAATAATGTAGTACTAGGTGGGGTGAAATTAAATTTTTAAAAAGCTAAAGATTTATTAGCTCTCAAAGCTCTCAAAGTTCCTAAAGAAAAAACAAAATGATTACATTCATACATATACATATTTATAGGAAGAGTATTAAATATAAACAAAAAAATTAAAAAAAAAAATTTCAATATTTTACTTCTTTCGAAAAACGTTGTTTATCATGTTATTATTATATTGTTATAGCACATATGGCTATGGTGTAAGCACAAATCATACTCGCAGATACAGGTTTTGTTGGTGCATGTTTTGATTGGTCGAAATCTTTGTTAACAATACGTTTCTCTGTAAAATATTGACTTTAAAACTAACATTATAAATTTGACGTCAAATATGTTAAATATTTCAACCGTATCACGGTAGTGATCACTCATTTTACCTAAACCCATCTAAAATGGCGCTTATACGATTTAATCATTCACAAAGGAGTAGAAATAAATTAAAAATTGAATTGGACAATGAGAATATATTTTAGCGACAATGTAATTCTTCTTAATGTCACCACGCCAAAAACTATTCATTAGTAAAAACTTACTAGTAAACTTCCATGTAAAAGATTATTTACAAATTGTAACGTATGGTGCATGATTTTTTGTTTTTTCTTTTAGGTTGTTTCATAATGTATTATTGCTGATTGCCGATGGAAATAAACGTATTGTATTGTATTTAAGTCTGGTCGAGAATCCTCAAATCGTCGAATATCTGACGTAACTCGTTATTACGTATAGTAGAGTATTAGTGCATTACTTTGAATTAAATTTTATGTTACCCTATTTGGGATATTCTATGCTTTGGCATAAGAGTTTAAATGTAGTAATAGAAAAAAAATAAATGTGAAATAAATGAAATGTTAATTATAAACCAAATCACAAAAAAAAAATAAGCAACTCTCTGAACTTGCTGTACAAGAAACGTTATAGGTAAAGATAAAGTTTGTTTATAACGTGTATTTGCCTTATTTATATGGTTAAAATTCTGATGGTTTCTGGAATTAATTAAAACCGATATACGACAATAATTTTTGGTACTCCGCTGTCTTTGTTTTTACCAGATGAATGCTGGCGATTACCTGGCAGCGTAGGCTACTTTTTCATGGAATACAACATAAGTCAACCACGAGGAACAGAGATTCTCGGTAAAGATAACCGACTTCGTTCGATTATATGACCCTCTTTAATTGCGGACTACCGAGAATAAAGTTTACCAACGCGACGTTGAAAATTCCAATATTCCTATATCGGTCGCATTTGTCGCGTTGTGTAGTTCAGGCAGTAAAATATCAATTACTGTCTTATTGAGTCGCCTGCTTATATTCATTACCATGTGACAGTTTTTTGCATATATTTTACTAGGATTGCTGCAAAGAAATCCAGCAAATGACCATTTAGGACCTTGGAGGAAAGTATCACATGGGTATTACTTGCATATCGAATATTTGTGTTTTTAACGCAGCTTGGTCACGCGCAAACACCCATTCAGTATTCAAAAAAAGACGATGGTTGCGCAGGAAAATTGTTAATTGTATAGACCGCGTTTTAGGTCATGCGGCATAAAATGTTCCAACCGCAGATTTATATTCTATAAATATGCAGTTATCGTTTTAATTGGTAGGTATGTATAATGGAATAGACGTAAATTAAAACCCTTTATCGCCAAATGTTAGCCATATTTCGCAGTCTGGTGAATTTAGATAAAGAAAAAACACTCTAAATTGTAACTACTACCAACGTCTATAAATAATTCAATTAATAAGACGTGGGCATAAAACTAGTCAAACTTGGGGGACATAGTTTTCAGTGTCTCACTTGAAAGAGAATCGTCCCTATTTGCCATTTTTAAATTTTGAAAAGACGTTTTCTATGTAAATTTTTAATAGGAAAACTAGGAAGGACGATACTTATTAAATGTCATATTATTTTTGAAATAAACTGTCAACTGGATATGTTTGTATCGCGTTACATATTTTTTCATTATTGATTCGCAAATATAAGCTGTTAGGCACTTTGAAATATCCGTTTCGAGTAAATGAGGGGTTTAAATTCTTCGATAGTCGATATATACTCAGAACTTTTAATTTGAAGTGTCCAACAACTTACATTTTTGAAGAGAGATAAAAATATATAAGAATAAATATGTAATTACATCTAAAACCTAGATGGCGTCGTATTAATTAGCTCACTCGGCTTCCTCGTCGATTAAGAACTTAAACTGCTAAGCACTTGAAACTAAAACGTTGCTCCTAAACTTCATCTGGACTGTCTTTAACTGATGTGGCATATAGATTAAAAAACAACAGCTTTTAATCTTAATTAAATAAATATCCTTGAATCAAAACGAAAAATGAGATTGGAAGATCTTCCGAAATAACAGAAAAATGTTTTTTTTTTTCATTTATACGACAAACCATAATTTTATTAATGAGATTGAATCCTATTTAAAAAAAAACTAGTTGTTTCGGACTCTCTATATCATGTTTAAAACAAATTGGTATATCATAAAAAAAAATTAGTGAAATTTTAAAACGTACCAATCCATAAATACCACTTTAATGTAAAATTTTTGAAACAATGTTGATATCTCAGAAATTGATAACCAGACTTTATTTATTTTTTTTTTAGTTTTAATATGTGGATTTTAGCCATGCCATGTGGCTAAGGTGCGAACAAATTTTGTATAATCCAGTTATACCACTCTACATGTCACAACATAGCAAGTCGGAAATTTTTCCCCCAAAATAAGCTAATTTTTGAACATCTTCTTGTACGTACTCTCGTGGTTTTTCGGCATTGACATTTATGATTCAGGAAGATCCATTAAATACATGAAGATATACAAATCTTTTCGCCACAACAAACTAGAGATTAAGGGTTAAAAGCTGCGTTGACATTGAGTCATCACTGTCCATGAAAAAGCGATCCCTAGCTCATTAAAAATAAAGAAACTCATTCGGCAACAGCATAATTGTATGTAATTATTTGCTAATTTTAACTCTCAAGCGATTCCTATCGGCTATTTCGACGTTTGCAGAGGTTTCGCAAGGTAGTATTTTTCACTTTCCGTATATGTATTTGACGACTTTTGCGATATGGTACGTACCTTTGCTAATAAGTAGTATTTAGGTATGGGTAGCAGTGCCTTCAGACCAGGCCTTCCATCGCCCATGTTTCTTTAGCTTCCGCATTTAACATAACGAGATTGTGTTTTATTCCCGATCTTTTGAGAATACCTAAATAAAGTGTAAAATTAGTAAAACCTACAAAAAGGCGAATACGGTAACAATATAAAAATTTGTTTTTACATTTTTAAATAGAAAAACCGTAACACGTGTTGTTAGCATTAGTCGGAAAAGGACAACGTCGTCAAAACACCGAGCCCCTCTATCTCATCAAATGTTTTTGAGAGAACTTAATACCCTGCAGAGCTAAAAGCTATACTAAAATTCAGTCCATAACATTATATTATGCAACAAGTGCGGTAAACGGCATTTGACTCACGAGTTTATTTGACACGAGCGGAGCGAGTGTTTAATAAACGAGTGCCTTAAAAAGTTTACCGAACGTGTTGCATACTATACTTTTTCTACGACCGTTAGTTTTTGGGTACATTTTCGTAAAACAACACCAATACGTTCACTGACAAGACCATCAGAATTGACAAACGTCAAAGCCATGCGGTAAAATCTACGAAAACATCCGATGGCTCCCAAACCCGTGCGGTAAAATCCCGGAAATGTCCGAAGTCGGTCGGATCCATGGAAAACGAAACTGACGCTTCGCGCACGCTAGATAGGTGTGTAATTAGGCATTTAACATATGGGAGTAGAAAAAATTGTTTATTTATCTTGCTGCTTGGCAAAGGGTTGACAAGAATGTTCTTGACGATCACAGAATTTAACTTACTTCTGAATGATATTAAATAATGTTTTCTACTCCCATCTGTAAAATACCTAATTACACACCGATCTAGCGTCCGGGAAGCGTCATTTTACCACGTCAGTTTAGTTTCCCACGAATCCGATCCACTTCGGACATTTTCGGGATTTTACCGCACAGATTTGGGAGCAATCGGATGTTTTCGGAGATATTTCCCTCGTTCTGAATTTTAACGTTTATCAATTCTGACAGTCATGTCAGTGAATGTATTCGTGTTATTTTGAAAAAATGTACGCAATAACTAACGGTCGTAGAAAAAGTATAGTATGCAACACGTTCGGTAAACTTTTTAAGTCGCTCGTTTATTAAACACTCGCTTCGCTCGTGTCAAATAAACTCGTAAATTAAATGCCGTTTACCGCACTTGTTGCATAATATACTATTTTATAATAATATTTTTAACTACGATAATAGACTAAATAGTAAAAAAGTAAAGAGGAAATTTAGGAATGTCTGAAAGGATTAGAATTAATCTTACAATTTATCGAAAAAAATTGGCGAACCCAAGTTTTTGATTATAGAGTTGGTGAAAAAATTGTGTTCATTGAACCTAAACTTGTAAGAAAATTTTATGCAAAGTTTGCATAAAATTTCCCTACCCTATGACTATAGAATTAATGGTTACCAAAATGCTCCCAATTTCCATACGATACTCGTTCTAAGACGAAAAATATTAAATGCAATTTTCTGATTTCTTTTTTATTTTAATTTTAAAAAATTACATGACATCAATTATGCGTTATTTATATCTGATATTTTATCTTAATCGCGAATATGTATTGATTACTAGTTTACGAATAGAATAATTCTGTTTATAATTAGAATTTTACCTGATGTTGTTTTTCTGTTTCTAATTTCTCTTGGTTTCATAACTTTTTCATTGATCTATTTAAATTATTTCTTTTATGTTGGTAAATTTTTTCGCTGTTTGTTTACTTGCGACTTTAAAATTACTTTATTTCCTTTTAATTTACTGACGAAAATGAATTGATTGACATAATGTCAATTATATGTTTTTTTCACCTTAAATTAGTAACTCAATCGTAACTAACGAAAGACGTTTGGATTTGAGACACCTCACAGTAAACGAAATGTACAAACCAGTCGACAAAGCAATTGCTTAGAAGGCGTCGAAACGCTGGCAAAGTTTTTATTCTTTGGAACTTAGGGCATTTATTTCTTGTGAAAGCTTCCGCTTTTGCTAATCAGCAATTGCTCTTACCATTCATTCATAAGGCCAATAGTGTAATTGATTTGATAAGAAAATAAATAGTAAATAAAAATATTTTAGTCAGCTATTTTGCAAATTTCGAATTAATTTTTAATGATTCGTAATTAAGATGATAAAAAAAATTAAATTTTAATATTGTAGTTAATTTAATGCGCCGATGCATTTGCTGCATCATTGAAGGTTTTCCAATATATTTTCCTTTTTTTTTATCTTTGCTAAGCACTAAAGCTTGTGATTTTAATCTATTGAGAGTTAAATAGTCGAGTATATTTTCAAGATCGGATATTAGGTTATCATTCTTTGCAATAATTGGTGGAGCAAAACTGCAATCTTTTCCTTTAATTTAGATGACATGGATCACGCTCAAAAATTTTAAATAACCGTTAGTCAAATCGAAGTCAATTAGACAAAATTCCCAGTTAAACGCATTCCTGCTACATCGTACCCCACAAGCAAAGCGCCCGAACGAGGGAAATCATCGAAATTTTAATTATCTAACGTCGACCTAACGAGTTAAGTACCTCCACTAAGCAGCACTCTTCTCCCATATCCAACCGTGTTCAGAAGGTACCGCTCTCGCGGTGCCGCTTGTTCATTCACTCTTGGACGGAGAAATTTTAAACAGCTGACAACTACCGCACGAGCCGTTTCCACCGAAGAAAGTGAAGGGTTGCGTTTCATCACGTTTTTTTTTGGGGAGCTCTCACATTAAACGAAAGCGAACTTGGTCAACTTACGGTACTGATTTCGGTAGTGCAAGCACTTTTTCGTAATTGGTGGTTGTTTTGTGTGTCGCAGAAGGGAATTATCTACTCGACTATTCATTCGAAAAGGTAAAATGTTCTATTTCGATTTCCTGCTTATATTTTAATAAGTAACAAACCGAAACTTGCGGGATAAAATAGAGACAGTACTGAGTTTACAACGACCACTATACCACACCTAATCAACGTTCTGTAGTATAGTGTCCTTTGCTGATGTAAATGAAATAGGGAGTTTTGAATGTAACTTAAGCCTCAGTAGAAGTGTGTAAGTCAAATAAGCATAGACCCAGCCCTTTTCCATTAATATAATATTAATATTAATTAATTATTATTAATTATTAATATAATACCAGGGCAATGTATTGAACGTTTCCTGCCACCGGGAGTAAAATCCAGAACCTTCCAGAATGTATTTATTAAAAATGGAAACATTGTACGCACACTGTTTATCGGTAAAACTAAAATATTTTTAAAACGTGATTTCTTGACAGCACATGATCAATTGGATGGGACAATTTATGCAAATAAAAATCATCTCTGCTTTAAACGAAACAAACGGAAAGATGTCTATTAAGCGGACAATTAACTGTCAGGAGATCGGCCGAGAATTAAGAAAGCGTGACACTTTGATTCTACAATTTTATTTCGCAGTCATTTGATGCAACAAAGTATACAGATAATCAATTCTAATTGTTGTAAATACAGCACAGATAGAATTGTCTCAAAAAATGTTACCTTTATTTTAAAAAGTAGGATACTATGCATGCTAATTTTAAATAAAAAATTTTTATTTGATTTATAAAATACTATACAAATAAATAAAATATCAACTTGGATTCTTTTTAGTCGCTGTAGTTCAAGCAGTATTCTCCTAGATTGAGACTGCTTAAATTTTTCTATTCTAAAAGGTTACAAAAAGTTTTTGACCAGAAGGCAGAACTATTTTTTGTTGGGGTCTATTCATAACACATATAGAGCATTGGAAAATGTTTATATGAGAAATCAATTTTACTAAAACAGTGTTGCTTGTTATTTAATTATAATAATACAAGTTTGATAAACGGCCCATGTTTGTTTTGGTTTAGTAGTGCCTGTAGAACTTTATCAACATGTTGCATACTGTTTGTGACCTAATGAATGCAGAAAACATGCAGAACCCTCAAAACGGACAATTAATCTAAATTTATGGAAAGAATTTGATCGTACCCAAATCCATAACTAAAGCCAGTTATTTATAAAGCAAAGCAGACTCGTGACTAAAATAGTTTCTAAATTTGTTGCATAATTTATATATTTTTAAATAGTTTCCAAAATAAAATATCTTTAGTTTAAACCTCTAATAACTGTGTTTAATTTTTGGCTAACATAATATCATAATAACATAATAACATCACAAACTAAACAAACAGACAAAATTAAAATTGCGTCTATATAGTCAAATACCTTACTCCAATTCTCTTAAAAAAACAGCGAATCTTAAACAACTACATGATCAAGCTCATTCACGAAGAATACTTTTACGAGAGACTTATAGGACGGAGATGAAACCGATGATTTTGGAAAAAGGAAAAACTTGTGATTAAAAGTCTGTCGTTATTTCCTAACGAAACTGCTCCATTTATTTTTAGTTGCTTTTGCATTTGCAATTTTGCTTGGCAGATGATGGGTTAGTTCAGCTATTCTTCTTGTAATCGCGATATTAGGGTAAAATACATGCATCTATTAAAAACTGTAGTGTAATTCGTCGATTTAAATTCATCCCGTTGTGCCCGGTTTTTATGCCATCCTTGTCTGTCTAAGTACGGCCTGGTGTCGCGAAAAAATGACATGACGCGTTCAGTATTCATAGCATATTAAAATGTCTTAATTAATATTGTTGGTCACGTTTTTCTCATATGCAGCGTACCTGTAACGTACACTTTTGTCGGTATTCGATTGTTGTGGCGACACTAACTTTCCTCATAAAGGAAACTTAGCTGTAAAATATTCGAGAAAAGGACAATGCCTGCCCCATTTTAAACAGTAATGAAAATTTTACATGGCTTCAGTTTAGTAGTAATTAAAGTTAAAGTTGCATTACTACTCATGCAATTTTAATTGAATGGCAATATAAAATTTATAGTTGCATAGTTGTGATTAAATATTCTGCATTGAAGAAAAGCTTTAAAGCGAGTAAAAACTTAAGAGCCAAATATTAAGGACTTGAAAGAAAGAAAAACAGAAGCTGGTGCTGCGCAGCTGTAATATTACGGGGTTTCTAGCCTGTGCGCATATTCATGTCTCCGCACTATTTATCGAGAGGGCAAATTAAAATATTTTTGTTCCGTTCGTTGGACTCTATTTGACAATTAGCTGGGATTAAAATAATATACCGATAAAGAAAATAATTCTAAAAATCACGGCATTTTGGTGGTTTATATGGCCCATATAATTCGATTGAAAATCAGACGCGACGGTACTAAATATGCCATTAATATAAATTGTACGACGTTCACCGAGCCGTAAACAAATGTTTATGTTATTTTTTGCTTCGATCGTCATTATATACATATACTAAATAAGTTTTGAAACACCCTGTATAATTATAGCATGACAATGAAACTTTTTTTTCTTATAACAATCATGGTCTGCTTTTTCTAGATCATGTGCAAAACTCTTTTGATTGAGAAAAAAGCTTAATCTAATCTGTGCTGCAGGTACAGTGTAGGTTATATTAAACTTTAAAAAATATATTTTGGGTTATTTTCTTTTTTCCTAACTAAAAGGGATAAAACTTTATAGATTTTTTTTTCAAATTTGGCTACACTACTGCAATCATCAATCAATCATCTAGATAAGTTGAAGCAACCAAAATCCTAAACCAAAATTAAATATTGCGCTAGATTAAATTATTCGATAATTATCACGTTTATAACATTCCTCCTTATTAGTTAAATCCTTGGAAAGTTTATTTTAATTCCTTCATCTTGCATTAAAGATTTGCGCTATTTAGAACATTTTGCCTAAACAATAATATTTGATTGTAAATTAATTGAATTTGAATTTTGTTTTAGCATTTTTTAAATTTATTTTTAAAAAAATCATCGCAACAGTATAACAAAGACACTTAGAGCTTACTTTTTTTACTTATGTGCACTAATGTAAATTTTACATGGTTTTACAGGTAGTCTAAGTAAGCATAAAAAAGGTAGTGGATATCATTTCAAAAAAAAAATACCAATTCAAAAAGTTTCTAACAATATTAATGTAAATTTTGTAATTGCAGAGTTGATATTAAATATTCTGCGTTGACAGATTTGAAAAGAAACACAGAACCAAGTACTGCGCAGCTCTAATAATGTAGGGGTTACTCGCTTACGTGCATCTTCATGTCTCCACACGATTTGTCGCTAACGAATAGGGCAAATTAAAATATATTTGTTCCGCTTGAGTCTAGAATTTCACAATTATTTAAGCTTAAGATAATAGACCAATAAAGATAACAATTCTGAAAATCGCGGTATTATGGCCATTTATATGGTCCATACAATTCCGAGACTCGTCGGCAGTAATGATTGCTTAGGTCGTAATTAAGACTAAATAAATTTTGAAACACCCTGTATAATTATAGCATTTATTCTATATGGTAACACGGTAACACAGTCTTAGTATTCATTATTTGCACAGCTCTTTTGATAAAAAAAAAGTTTAATCTGATATGCAGGTACAGTGTGCGTTATATTAAACATAAACAAATTGTATTCTGGTATCTTTTCTGAATTTACCCGTACCACTGAATCAACAAGATGAATAAGTAGAAGCAACTTATACTTCCACTTCGTTAAATTATTCACTTTTATTATTAGTTGGAAAGTTTAATTTAATTAATTCGTTTTTCATTAACTATTTAACTTATTTTAAATATTTTGTTAATCAGTGGTATTTGGGATTGTGCATTTTTTAAAATTTCATCGCTACCTGTGTAATATAATTATAATAAGCACTTATTGAATATAAATTAATAATAAATATTTGTCATGACATTTTTGGCGTTTTATATGCTTTTAAAAATCATGTGCATTGAAAATGAGACTATGCAATTTACATGAAGCTTGCTAAATACTGAAAACTCTTATAGAAAATCCAATTTGACTTTATTATTTTTATTTATTTATTTTTGTAATATTTATTTATTATTACGGCGAAGAACTCTTCTTGCAGGCATTAAGGCAGGGGTAGTGACCTTTTTTCCATGCTGATGGGGTGACATATCGTACCAAAAAAACAGAAATTGTTGAAGATTATAAGTTTTTTTTTCATACTCAATATTTGTTTGATAATCTTGAAATGAAATATTTACTTGGTTGTTGGTATATGTATTTCAGGGTAAAAATAAGCTATCCTTCAAAATAATCATTTTTGTATGAAGCGAAATAAGTTTTAAAAACTTAAAATTTCTTGCCTATTTATCATTTGTGGATATAACTTATAATAGGCAGGTAGAGCTTCAAATCACAACCACATATCTCTTACCTATATGACATTTTGTGTATAGTTCAGAATATCGCATTTCACAATCAAGAAAATTGGGTTAAGGAACGAGTTTATCTCGAAAACCTGTTACGTTTGAGATTTGTTATTTAAAGCATGCGGTACATTCGAAATAGCCCGCCTCCGAACCGTAAGTTATCTAACCAAGTCTTTAACAATTAAAGACTTTTAGTACTTACACTAAAGTGAACGGGGAATAATTCCCGAAGCACTGGTCTATTTCTATCGATATTTAAGCGGACGTTTATGTTTTTATTAAATATTTTGTTTCGAAACGGTTCATTTTGTTTGATACGAGATAGTTCTAGTTATCTTATATATAACATAACATCTGAAATCGATATCGTTAGCGAAATTTAATAAGCGGAAAGATAAAATGTCTGCGGTCAAATCTTGCGTATCATTGAACACCGACCGAACTAAATAGGTTGAAAAACCGTAGATTGTCTATTCATTTGCGCAAACAACCGTCAATGTTGTGTTAATTGCCATCCAACTTAAACGGTAGATCGACGTGACTTTTTCAGGAGAAAATGTCTCCAATTTGCCGTGATCTAGTTCTCGTTATAGGTTTTTATTGCTGAAACTGACCGTGGATTTGACATTTATATCATAATTGATGCCTGGCTTTCAGAATATTTAAAAAAAAAGAATAAAGAAGCGATTTAAATTTCAGCATAAAGGTTTTAACGACCTATTTTGAGATACCATATAAGATAATATAGGGATCTAAGGACTGTAAAAATTGATGCATTTCAGGCGGCAATATTATTTTTCTAGGGAACCTTGAACAAGATATAGACTTAGATAGAAAATACTGCCTTAAAAATGCAATGCTGTCGAATTGATGAACTGTCAGCGACCATGTTTGTTTTAGAACGCCTCTAGATCTTATTGGTTGGTTTGAAATAACAGGGGCTATTGGTTGAAAATGAAATTTCAAAAAAACGCGACTGTGCACATTAGATTGCCCTTCTCGACATTATTTCTCATCGTCACTTCAAAAGTTCCTGTATTATCAGGATAGGCAGAGAGCCTCTATATATCTAGTAGCTAAATGACATACAAATTAGAAATGAAATACAGAAGAATTCGGCACTCTAAGACCTTCGTAATAATTAACCAAACAATTCAATTATCTATGGTGCGAGTTTTAAGTTTAAGTACTTTCACCGCCAGTTGGTATAAATTTGTTATCAGAATTATCAAATTCATATTTAATTTCGAATGCATATCCAATGTTCATGTTTTTTTTTAATAATAAAAGATGTTAGTATTGTTTGCATGCTATTACCTCGTGTGGTGCTTCTTGGCAGTTTAAATATTATTATTCGCCTGATTTATACAATACCACGAAAATCTTCATATAAACCCCACCAAAATAACTTATGTGCTTAGCACTGAGCAAATTTTATGTTAATGGTTTCAGCAAATTTAGGTAATTAGGTAATTTAGGAATGAAGTATTAGAAAGTTTTCCACTTCGAATGCCAAGGTGGCTATTGTATTGTTTGCCGAATTCTTTAAAAATTGAATCCTCTCAATAAAGATTACGCTGAACCAACAACTTCTCTTACGGTTTGAAGATTCTATGGTACTCAACCAATGGAAATCTGCGCAATTATCTCGACAGTTAAAGAATTGTGCAATTTTTGTACTAATTTTTCTTCGAGACATGTAGTAATAATAATTGTGTAACAAGTGTGAGAATTAGAATGCATATAATGCGTCGTTTATGGCGATTTGTCTGAACAAAATCGGTTTTACTACAACGGAGTAAAATAAGCCTCAAAAGGATGTTGCACTACATTTCGAGCGATAGCGATCGAAAATAGCAATTAGGAAAGAATTAATTCTATATAAGAGTGAACGAAAATTAGTAGGTACAATGAACCCGATGGTTTAATAGTCTTTTAATTAATATTTTTTATACAAAGGAAAATTATGCATTTCAAAAAAGCGAAGTTGTTTGAGTTTACGATTAAATTTTTCTTTAGCCATATTTTATGTTTGTTATTTAAATTTCATATTATTCTCTATGTCGACGTAATTTAAATATCTTGCATTCCATTATGGGAGATTAGATCGGCAAGTTTGAGTTTTGCAATTTAACCTGACAACATTATTAAGTAATTAACAAATTCCATACCATGCAGTGAGATTGTCGGAAACTCAATTTGAAGGAGTTAATTTTTATTATACTTAATTTAAATTATGAGCAAATGTAATACAAAACGAATAAATATTTGCTTTTTGTATTGAGAGAAACTTCAAGGCTTACCGTATTTGGTTGAATTTGGAGAATATTACTAAGTAATAATGACGGTAGCTCCATAACACTTGCTTATCGCTAATTATTTGAAAATAGAAGAAAAACAAATGTTTTAAAGCCAGACATCTAAGGCGACTAAAATACACGCTGTAAAAAAATTTAAAGACATGTTCCAAGTAAATTGAATGTCCTTGGATAATTGCTGAACAAAACAATTAGCTACTTAATTGCATTAATTTACACGAATACCATCTGCAGATCATCTAAACATGTACGTTTGTCAGGCGCATTTAAAGTAATATCTTTTCATCTTTATATATACAATACAATGAAAGAAAAATTTGGAGTTTTCCTTCTCTTATATTTAGAAATAATATAATAAGTATAACCTATTATGTATGGTTCAAGAAAAAGACATATGGATTTTATTTTGCTTCGGATTTTTTAAATAGTTTATGGTTTTTATACTAAACATGCTTGTTCAGGTTCGATTCATTGGTTTGCGTATTTTCTCCTATGAGGAAATATTTCATTTTATATTTAATTTACTTTACATGCATGTATCTTTCGCTCCCTAATCAGCGAGTTTTAATAATGAAATTTAAAATCTATGTATCAACAATTTACGATTAGTAAGGGGAGTTATTAGTGAATCTGTTCTCACGAAAACAAATTGAAAGTGATTTATCGTACATCGACAGATTATTGACCGTCAGCATTTTCTCCGGCAACCATACGTAAATTATTGTTCATTATTCATCGTTATTTATCTTCGATAAATCTTGTTCAAATGCACGTGACAGATGGTTTCGCGCGCCATGTCGTAACTGTTACTTAAATATTCAGCGGACATGTTTGCTTCACAAGTTCAAAGAACACAATGGCGTAGATGTCTTACCTAGAAATCTCTCATTAAATAAAGAAATAGCATGAATGTAATAATTTCCTAGAAAATATTAAAGGAATATGTATTTCTAAATTATCAGTTTTCTGAAGGTGCTTACTTTTTAAATATATCTCTTTGGTATGGACAGTAAAAACTTACTGTGTCAACTTGACGTGACAACTTGGTCAAGTGTTTCTTTAAAACGTAATTTGGAAACACTTAAACCAAATCCATACCTTACAAGTCAACCCAACCCATTTTGTATGTTAAAGTTAACGTGGAGCTGAATGTTTAGACTGCATGTCTGTATTAAGAAATATGACAATACATATGAACAGTACAGGGCAAAACCCCCGTCATTGTATAAACAACGAATAACAAAAAAATCAAATAAAATACTTCAAAAAATTTTATGTAAACGGAAAGGAACAACAAAATACATATGCCTCAAAGAAACCAGTTCAATATTTAGAGAAAAATTCCAAATAAAACGACTACCAACTATCTTCTTTCAAACGTCAGTAGGTGGACAGTCGAAATAGGAATCATTTTTAGTTGTAGGAAGGTTACTGGGGGTTTGGATACATCTTTGCTTCTGGGTTTTCCAATAGTTTGTCATTTTGTTATTCAAGATAACGTTCGTGGGCCTGCTTTAGCTCCATCTTACTCTTTAATGCAATGGTGGGGGTTTTCTCCTAAAACAACAAGAAATTCGGTGTTTTTCACCTCTACCCTTCATATTCTATTCTTCTACTTTAATTCTTACAAAATCAGTTTCTTTAATAACAGACGAATTGACCGAATCTCTTAATACACTGGATTAGGAATATGAAAAAAATATTGGTTAATAACGATTTTGATTTTGCGAAGGCGGCAGATGTGTTAAAGATGTTAGAAAAAATATTTTTTCTACTCACTTCTGTAAAATACCTAATTACCCGCCGATCTAGCGTACGGAAACCGTCACTTTACCACGTCAGTTTCGTTTCCCATGAATCCGAGTCACTTCGGACATTTCCGGGATTTTACCGCACGGATTTGGGAGCAGTCGGGTGTTTTCGGAGATTTTTCTCACGCTTTGAATTTTGACATTTGTCAATTCTGACGGTCATGTCAGTGAATGCATTCTTGTTGTTTTGCGAAAATGTATCCAAAAACTCACGGTCGTAGAAAAAGTGTAGTATGCAACACGTTCGGTAAACTTTTTAACTCACTCGTTTATTAAAAAGTCGCTCAGCTGCGCTCCGCCCGTGTCAAATAAACTGTTGAGTCAAATGCCGTTTACCGCACATGTTGCATAATATACTATTAAAGTCAAGTCAAATTATGGCAATTAATAAAATAAAAATCAAATGAAACGGCATTATAAAAAACGAAGAAAAAACCGTTTAAATATAGTGTGACTTCATTCTAAAATCGGGCGCCTCTGCCTAAACAACAACGTCAACATGAAATCCATGTGGGCAGCAGGTGTCAAGGGCGTCATCTAAAATTTTAATACGCAGGAAGACTTATTGGCTATTCTAGACAACGCTTCTGCGTCCTGCGAAAGAGCTCAACAATTTATGGAAAATCTTGACGCATTTTATGAGAGCAACTCGTACACCCTCCGTATGCGTTGTGACTGAAAAGTGTGCCCGGTTTCAGTGTTGCCTTTTTGTCGCATCCTTTGTTTCGTATCAAAAAAAATCATCGAATTTTCAAACGTCTTTCTTACTAATATGTTTTTTAAAGAACTATATATTGTAAAACTTTAGTTTCTCACCGTTCCTTAGATTCATAAAAAAACAAACCGCTATGAAACTGAGAAACTTTGTCCATATTCTCCCAAAGTTTGTATGAGCACAAAATTAATTATTAATACTTATCAAATAGTATCGAGGAAATGCACTATAAACTTATATAATCACGCGTTCTTGCGAGAAGTTAAGTGAGAGAAATTAATAGTTTAAATCTTTTACGTAAACCATAACTACGAAGTATAACACAATGAGAAACAATTTCCTACACGATGCACAATAGGCCGATTGATCGTATGTGAACCGGAAAGTTTTGAAAATTGATCAAACGATTTTTCTAATTCTAGGTGATCGCGTAACTGCCTATGATGCCTCCGGATGAATTTTACTGGAACGGTACAGAGTCGGAGAGGTAGGTAATCAAATTCGGACCGTCAAAATGGATAGGCTAATGGAATAATGAAATAATTGAAAGAGTTATATAGGCGATTATTTATTCTTTAACGACTCTTGTGTAAATTATATTCCAGTCCAATCAACTACCCATCAAGGCAACTAACTAAAATTCTTATATCGTTCCTTATATGAGTCCATTCATTTTGACAGTGCCCGTTAAACAAGTCCAAAATAGTTAATTACTTTCGCACTTTCAGTGAAGAATCTCTTAAAGACTATCACACTCTACCACAGAGTCGCAACCAACCATCATATATAGATCCCTGGGACTTGGAGAATTATGCGTATATTCGAGAACATCTCGACTCTATGGAATTGTCATCGAATCCTTCGCTACCTCTAAGCGGTACGAGTAGTGGCGATTTGGCTGAAGCCCATTCGACTTCTTTCTTATACGTCCCAGGTAAATAGTATTCTAATTTTATAGGCTTGTCCATTTGGGTATTCAAATCAATATTCGCCAATTAATTTGATTAAAGAACATTATAGAATTATTTACAATTACATACAATGATTCATAGATATGGTTCGAATTCTTTCAGTTGCGATAAACGTTCTTACGCCCCGGATACCGGGTGCGTCTCAGTCCCTGGTAACCAGAGCGCTATTCCCTCCGCTAGAAGAGCTCTGTACTCTCATAGTGAGTTTGTTGTTGACGACTATATTAAAGGAAATTACTTTTGTATTAGATTGGCTCCGGGAAAGCCAACTAGTCATCCAATTTTTAAAAGAAAATCCGGATACGTCTAACAATTGATAGCTAAATATTTTTTTTAAAAAAGGAGAGAATAACGAAGAAATTTGAAATGTGTCATACTGACCAAGGAAAACCTAGAAAGTATATATAAAACTAATTATTTTTTACTACATCGCTACTCCGTGTAGGTAACAAAAGAATAGTTGACGTAAACAGGACCTACGAAGCGGCCGATCAAGGAAATTATGCTGATATAGATGAACTGCGAAGCGAAAGACCATACTACACGGCTAGAAAACTGAGATACAGCAGTTTTGCTGGTAAGTCCGTTAGTCTTCTTCAAAATTGAGGTGTTACATAAATTAGAATTAGAAAATTCTTAAGTTATCTTACACATTCTTTCATTCTATTTCAAAAATGGAAATACGCAGAATATGATGAGATGTCAGATCGTTTACAAACGGTAAATGTAAAATTATCGATCTTTATTATTTATTTAGGTAATAGTAATAAAAAAAGAAACGCTTTTCTTTTCTCAATTCAGCGAAGCACCAGGAACTGCAGTGTGCAGTGTTAAAATAAATTTTATTTTCGTGCGTAATTAACTCTCCATATTGCTTGAATTATGACCCAAATAACAATAATAATTTACCTTTAAGTACACGCAACGCTAGCGTAAAAATTGCGTTATGTTCTCGAATTGAATTGAAGAAAGTGTATTATTATTTTATTATATACGTTTGAAAATTTCACGATGCCCTTATGCAACACTGTGTATATAAACAGTGTTAAAATCCCTATTAGTTTTAATTAATTGTAGGAAACTTACTACAGAGGATTAGAATTGTTTTTTCTTTAAATCGATCCCTTTAGTACCTGCTTGGTTTATTCCTTAGAAATGTATATACGGAATATCCCATTTTCGAGAGTTTAACAAGGTATCCCACTTATCTTTAAATATATGCCTTTTTGCTCAGAATTTAATGCCTCTCGCGGTCAGTTCAAAAAGTTATTATTCGTACTTTGTTATATATTTTTTTAAATGAAACATCCTGAACCGATTTTAAATTTTTTGTTTTTATACGTTTTTGAAATGTAAATGATTGTCTTAATATATTTTTTTATATAAAAGTATATTTTGTCATTTTTAAAAATCCACTTGTCTGTCTTTTATCCCAGTTAACAATAGGATTGGTGTTTTTATTATTATTTTATTCTTCGCAACAGTTACAATTTTTTCTTTAGGCACTTACAAGGATAATTGTCTAGAAGCCAGATTTTTTTTTGTAGAGTGTAAATTTTAAGATCCAAATCATCAATCAATGAAACGTCCTGTGCATTTCATAAAAATTTGATTACGCTTTTAAAATAGTTTCTAAAAATGTATAATACTTAGGAAATAGAGAAAAGAGTATTATTTAAGATTACCATAACAACAACAATAATGTCAAGAATATTTCCAAAAATGTTGAAATACACGTTTATTTTAAAAAACATGTTTAGACATTTTTAAATAAAATTAAAAAAACACATAAGGTATGTAGAAAAACATAACTTTAGCTAGTATCTTAAAATTGAATCTTTTATAGAAAATCTGAGTGCTCTACTGGATTCTGCTGTAAAAGACCTATAAGAATTACTTTAAATTCCTTGAAATTTCACTGCAATTCCTACAAACTGTAGAGCACATTTCATCAGCAACTTTATCCTTCGTGCGCTGTTAAGTTTAATGCAATTTTTTAGCTTTTAGCTTCCTAGGATCTCGAAACTGCTGCAAGAATCGGGATGACATCAGTAATTCTGCGTTGTCACTGACGTTACTTGAGTAAAATTATAATTTAATTTTTTATCGTCCGATAAATCGGAAGTGAAAAAAAAACAATGAAGTTTTTAATACCCTTTTGTTCTACAAAACATTTTTTCCGTCGGATCACCTCGTCTTAAACTCTATACACGATTGTGTGTTTACAATGACCTTCCGTTTTGCAGTTTAGAGAGCTTTTACAATGTGAAACGCCTTCGAAAAATTAACGATCAGCCATTTAATGAAGGTGGAATCGCCATTGCGTAATTGTGTTCATTCGTAAAAATTTTAAATTGTACGCACATTCACAATACCGTCCTCGTGTTTAATGGTACAACTACAAACGAAGAACGTTTCCAAACGAATTAATTGTTCGTCTCGGTATTCTTTGTTGCAATTTGACAAATGTTAAGTAATATTATAAAGTACGAGGGCCTGGTGTCAGTGATTTGAAATCCAATTCTCGGATAGATAGATGTATAGATTTATATGCACTAAGCATTTTATAATGTTAAAACATAAAAAAATACTCAGCTTGGCATTATGTTATTAATCACCTGCATTTTAAAAGTGGATTATAATCTCGTTTGCAGATCTCCAGATTCGTTGAATTACCTTATTTTGTTCGTAGTTTACGCTGTGAAAGCTTAAACAAAGCAAGGATTTATGTTCAGTGTTTGCCCTAATTCTGGAATTACTTCTTACGCCAATTTAAAAGTTTCAAACTCTCCACAAGTCAATATCAATCAAACGTTCTATTAATGTAGGTAGGTAGGTGCGTAGGTATCAGGCTGGACTGAAGAGAGAATGATTTTATTTGAAACCGTTCTATTCTTCATCTTGTGACTCAAAACGTTTACTAAACCTGTTGTATACTATACTTTTTCTATGACCATTAGTCTCATTTTTGCAAAAAACACGTTGATTGACATGACCGTCAGATTTGATCAACGTCAAAATTGAAAGCGTGGGAAATATCTCCGAAAACATCCGATTGCTTCAAAATCCGTGCGGTAAAATCCCGGAAGAGTACGAAGTGGCTCGGATTCATGGGACACGAAACTGACGTGGTAACGTGACGCTTTCCGCACGCTAGACGGGCGGGTAATTAGGTATTTTACAGACGGGAGTAGAAAAACTCTTGAAGTCACTCGTTTATTAAACACTCGCTCCGCTCGTGTCAAATAAACTGGTGAGTCAAATGCTGTTTACACTTGTTGCATAATATACTATTTTACAGAAGGGAGTAGAAAATATACTATTAACGGCTCTTTACCTACATCCTGCAAATACAGTTGTAGATATATCACTTTCTACTTTTCACAATATTAGGGCTACTGACAAAAAATGTAAAAAAATCTAACGAAAAAAAAAAAACATGCAAAAGCCATTGTGTTTTATAAAGATTAATTTTGATAATATGTCGGATCCAGAATTAAAATTTACTCCGCATCTTAATTCATCTTTCAACTTCAAATGGCAAATGACATATAGTGATGCTGCACACTTTTGCTCAGATGAAGGCGATAAATATGCAAAACAACTGTTTTTTGCATTCACCACAAATTGTTGTATATATGATAACTAAAGTTTCCACAGTATATGCTTCATAAAATCAGCGTTAACACTAACGTACATAATATTAAGTTTAAAGATTTAAAGGTTTTCTTACGTTTCCAGCTCAGTCAACGGAAAATTTCAAGCAATCTTATTCTTATTGCTTTATCACAGTAATCAATAATCTGCCTAATGACCTTAAAAAATGAAAAACTCAAAAAACAATCAAGAATAAACTATTTATCTGTTTGTTCTCAAATCTCAAATCAAAGCTTGTTTCACAAGGTAATACTAAAACTGTAAAGTGTGCAAGCAAATAAAAACTTCCAAAGAACAATCGGATATATATTTTTTTTATATATTATATTTATATTTTAGGTTTAGTGTTCTTATAGTCACCATACTTGGAAGGTTCAAGAGTTGCATTGTTTCCTTAATAATATTATGTAACTAACTTGATTCAATAATTAATTTTAAAAATTTAATACGTATTAGTCATAGCACAAACTTTAACCTACGCAATTCCTATCTTGCGGCATCTCAATAAATAAAGTACAAAAAGAATACGTTAACCCGTCACCGATATACCAACAGTGTCATGAATTAGTTGCGACCCGGTATAACGCAACTTAAATAAACGTTTCTCATTTATCGACGGGCCCAATGCAATTGGCATGCTTTCGCCGAGGTACTTATATGGAATAATAGTGGCAAATAAATACATGTACGGATGCGGTATCTTATTTGTTGATGCAACAACCTCTTACGCACCGGCTACCGATTACAAAAAAAAAATGCCAAGGGTGCCAAATAAAGAAAACCGGACTCTCATTTAATCTAATAATCATTCCCGGCGCTACCTATTGGGTGTGCCTCTAACAAGCGTTTATCTAGCAAGAAATACACTAGGTGTCAATCGCATTTAGCTACCTAACGATGAAAATTCAGGGTGGTTCGAACATTTGTCCAAATTTTCGTCGCCCCCACCTTGATACATTTGATTTCGCATAAATATTTGTTTTTCGAGTTATCTTAACCGACACCGGAAAAAGTTTCCACAGAAATGACACTTTTATTTAATTGGACTTTTATTTGGAATTCGTAATAATGCTATCTACATTCGATTTCGCAGGGACAAGAACCGAGAACTCTTGCTCCTTACCAAGTACTACTTTCACGCGACTACAAGCTGTACTGCGTCTTCTGATCTCCCATCAGGAATTCAGATGATATATAATGCGTCACAGCAGAACAATTCCAATGTTAAGTGAATTTACTATTAACTTACTTACTATTAAGACATAGGCAATTAGGCAAGAGACGTGCACGAACATCCAACACAGTGACGTGAAAGATGCACAGTGTCAGATAAAAACAAAATTTAGAATAGAAATGATTATTTTTGTCAAAGAGTGTGTTTTATTTATTTTTTAAATGGTTTTCTACAATTTAGTACCTTAATATGTCTATCGATGGGTCTATCAAAGGTAGTGTAAAATGGGATAAAAATAAATAACTACATCTCTTTTTTCCAATTTTAAATACCATTGGACATCCTAAATAATAAAATTGACGTTTTAGGTTTAAGGCTATTTGACTATCTTCTGAAGCAAATTGTTTCATTTTTTTCAGAAAATACTATTATACCATCCTAGTCTATAGAAGCGACTCTCCAAATTAATTAAAATATGTTAAGCCTTTTTGGAGCTATCGACATTTATTTTTCATTTCCTTTGCAAAAAAAGATTCAAATTTGTCTCAACCGGACGAGTTGACAGTGCTTAGTGAAAAATAATTTATTAATTTAATACACATTTTGCTACTTCATAAAGAAATAAAATTGGTTATTGTTGACTAAACCTATTTTTTTATGAAAAAACTTTAGATGAGGATAAACATATTGAGATGCGGTTTTCACTGAGTCATTATGTGTTTATTTGACTATTTAATGATGTAAAA